ATAGGCAGGGCAAGCAGATGAGGAGAATTCTGGAAAGAGGAAGGGCTAAGTCAGGAGTCACCAGCTAGCCAGACACAGAGGAAGCAAGATGACAAGGCAGAACTGAGAAAAGGTACCAAGCTACATGGCTAAACATAAATAAGAATTATGGGTTAATTTAAGTGTAAGAGCTAGTCAGTAGTAAGCCTGAGCTAAAGGCCATACAGTTTGTAATTAATATAAGCCTGTGTGTTTATTTGGGTCTGAGTGGCTATGGGGGCCTGGTTGGCCTGGAGAAACCTTCCAACTACATTTGTCACCCACCATGTTTAAGAGAATATGGAACAAGTGTGCAAAGATTTTTGACTTCTTCATCAGCATAAGTGGAATCAACTAGACTTATTGTGTGTGTGTGTGTGTGTGTGTGTGTGTGTGTGCACAATAGTAATTCCACCTTTCGAAGAACTGGGCAAATGGTTACTACCTCCCAGGTACTGTGCAGGGTTTGCACACACTTGGCACACAGGATATTCATATTAAGAGGTTGTAATTACTGAAATAAGAGTTTAGGATGATTGGGTTGGAGAAAAGAAGACCATGGAAAGAAATGATGTTAATATTTGTATATAAATAAGGCAATTATCTTGTAGCAGCGGACAACAATAATTAGTTATTAACAGCAGGGTAGCCTGCAGCTTATTTTAAGAAGCAACTGTGAGTAGAATTGGAAAATGGTAAACCAGATTGTTTTGTGAGAGAGACCCTTGTCACTAAATAATTTCAAATCTGAAGTCACTCCCTCTTCTACCCTGCCAATGTTTTGAAGAGGTTTGATCATTGAAAGGCAGATTTCATCATGCCATTTATAAGGTCCCGTCCAAGTTAACAACCTATGATTCTAATTATTGATTAGGTCAACATAGAATTTCTTCTTTCCCACAAACATTAAAGCTCCAGCTTCATAGTCACCAAGGTACCACAAAAGCAAATAAGAAGAAGTACATAAGAAATGCAGGGCTCAGAGAGTAAACAGGATGCTCCCCTGGATCTGGCCATTTCCTAGAGATGTTAGAGAAGATTGGGAAAGAGGAATGTACAGCAGAAACGGTATAATCCTTTGAGACGTGCAGCGGTTCATATTGTGTATGCCGGGGTTCATGTTATGTGTGTAGGGAATACTAGAGTAAGTTATCCAGAACCAATGGGATAACTTCCCCAATGAGAACTTGTAAAGAAAGTGGACATCCCAGAAATACAGGATGTCTTTGTTGGGGTAATCGTTGTCCAAAGTTATTGGCTGTTTAGGTTTCTTGACTGAATATAAATCACTATATTCCTCCTATTTTCTTTTTTTTTAAATTTATTTATTTTTATTTTATTTGTATTGGTGCTTTTTTTTTTTCCTTTTTTTTTTTTTTTTTTCCGAGACAGAGTTTCTCTGTGTAGCTTTGCGCCTTTCCTGGATCTTGCTTTGTAGTCCAGGCTGGCCTCGAACTCACAGAGATCCGCCTGCCTCTGCCTCCCAAGTGCTGGAATTAAAGGCGCGTGCCACCACCGCCCGGCTTATTCCTCCTATTTTCACTTATAAACTCTTCATGAAGATAATGCATTGAGGCCACTCTGATGAAAACTCAATCTGGTGGCAGCAAATTGACATTTGATCACTCACAAGCTAGTGTGGTGATATTTTGTTTGTGCTCTAACAAATAAAGCTTGCCTGGAGATCAGAGTGGGGAGCTAGCTACTAGTTAGCCGTAGAGGCCAGGCAGTGTTGGCACACACCTATAATTCCAGCACTTGGGAGGAGGAAACAGGAAGATCAGGAGTTCAAAGCCATCCTGAGCTACACGAGATTGATCCAGTCTAAAAGAGAAACAGAGCCAGATGTTGGAGGCACACGCCTTTAATCTCAGCACTTGGGATCTCATGCCTTTAATCCCAGCACTAAGGCAGGTCGAGACAGGAAGTGATATGGCTGTGTGGGGAGAGGAATATAAGGCGGGAGGAGAAAGGAGCTCACCCCCTTTTCAGTCTGAGAATTCAGGAGAGGTAAGAAGTCTCTCTAGTGGCTGGCTCCCTTACTTCTCTGATCTTTCAGCATTTACTCCTATATCTGACTCTGGGTTTTTGTTATTAAGACCAATTAGAATTCACGCTACAAGCTAATTCTCATCCACTGACTGACATACTTCTGTGGACCATGTTACCTTAAACATATTGGCTAGTCAAGTCTGGCCCGTGTATTTATTTGTTGTAATTCAATTTTGAGCTTGTCAGGTCAAGTGGCGGATCAGAGCACTGCTTAAAGCAAGTGTAATAGACATACCAAGTTTTGATTAATTATCTAATCTTCCAACTATACACCACCCCTTGTCTGCCCTTGGAAGAACTTACTGTCTGTTACTTTCAAAGGGCAAGAACTACTGGTGAGGATGATATGTTAGCGAAGCATACCTAAAGAGAAGGCTGGTGTTGAATCTCATTTATCAGACAATCTGCTGAGTCGTTTTCTCTCTGTTTCCTCTGTTCTTTAATTTCTTTACTTCAACATCATTTACTGCCAGTTAGGCGCTGGCAATTCGATGTTTGTGTCAATTCAACATTTTCTGTCCACTGAGGAGCAGAGGCTTTTAGCTCTCGATGCGTGTTGGCTCTTGCAGGCTCATTCTAGAAGCAGCTTTTTGTCTCATGATTTCCCCCATGAGGCACCTGCATCTTTAGCTCCTCAGTACTGTTAATGACTCTAAAAATATATGAAGCTTAAATGAGCCCCCAAAGTAGCACTTTTTTTTGTGCTACCTGTTGACTGGAAAAGTGCTAATATGCTTTGCTTGAAGAGAGATGGCCAGCTAAGGAGGAAAAAGGAACAATTTCCTCTCATTGACCAAGACCTTGAATGGTTTATGAGGCAATATGTATGAAGCACCCAGGACAAGCAGCAAGGAAATTTTCCATATGATTACTTTACAAGAGAGAATAATAAAAGAACAGAGCAGGAATGATGTAGCATCCCAAACATAATTCTGATACTGCTTTTGAAGGTAAAGTTTTAGGTGTGCATGCCGGAGTATGTGTATACATCAAACTGTGTTTGAATCTGATGTACAGGGACTTAGAAGCCACTGCCATAGTGTCTAACTCTGGACAAGTGGTATTAACCAAAGGATAAACAAAGATGCTCTAACGGGCAAACGGGTGAGTGCTGGCACCCACGGCAGTGAGGGCATAAAAACACAAATGGAATTTTCCTTTTCATGTTCCTCCTATTGATTTGTGCAGCCCTGTTTATAGAAGTCACCGGAATGGAGCTCTCGGGGCAGTGGGAGGTGTGGAGACACAACAGAGATGCTCCTTCCTTTCATGTCCTGTGCCTGCTGTCAAGCAGCGAGCTGTCACCCATCACCCCACTCTCATTTCGAGCCACAGACAAGTATCACTCTAACCCCTCCTGCCTTCTTCATGCTGTATGTGCTCTTTGTTCTACATCAAGTCGCATTGTCTGTCCCCTTCGTATTTTTCTCACTTCTTCTGGACTCCCTGTCGACACCTTCTGGATTTGACATTGTCATTGATCCTGTGGTCCTTGCTGTTTACTTCACTGGTCCACCGTGTGTTCGTGTTCTCCCCTGTCTGCTCCAAAGCTAAGGCTCGTGCAGTGGACTGAGTATTCTGGAATTCTGAGAGCCACACATTACTCATCGGAGCTTGAGGAACCAAGCTTGAGCCCAGGTCCCTGCTGTCTGTTCTTTGGGTCATGACCTTCAGTCGTGTAACACAAATCCATCTGAACTCTTATGATGTAGTCATTGGCATCCAAAGGCCACGCCTTTCAAAGCAGCCTCAGAAGCTTCAGTGAGGTTTTCATCTTTCAGAGAGTTAAAGGGTAAAGTGAGGCACAATATACATGTTGTTGTTGTTGTTGTTTTGAGGAGTTTTTGAGTTTCAGAAAATTTTTGAGCGAACACAGATTCAGGAATTGGGCAGTTCCAAAATAGGAACTGGCTCAGAGGCTCCACTGAGGTAAGGCAAGGACAAGATTTTTACAGGGTAAGCACAGGAATAAGGCAGATAATGCATTTGATTAGCTACATAGTTACTTTGTATGTCTGTCCTGCTGCAAAGTCCCTACTTAGATAGAAGTAGTTAGTAGATGGTTGGCTCACCTGCCTTAAGTTTCATTTTTCATACTATCCATATATAAGAAAGCTCAAGGGAACTTTCACTTACATTTGTAAATCAAGCAGCTCAGATCACATGAAAGGCCCAGCTGGCTATGGATTCTCTAGAACCAGTCTTTGGGTTTATTTTTCAAAGCTAATTGACCAAGTTACATCTTCCTTGTCATGCTTTAAAATCATGAATTTTAAATTTATACCAAGAGACCAAGTATTGTTTTTCCAACATGTTAAGAAATGCATGTCAGGGCCCAGAAGAGGGCTCAGTGGGTTAACACACTTGCCTACTGACCTGAGTTCAGTTCTGGGCCTTAGGATAGGAGGAGAGGAGAGACCTGACTCCTGAAACCTGTCCTCCAACCACCACACAAACATGCAAGCTAGACATGGTGGGACACAAGTACAGTCCCAGTGCTTGGGAGACCGAGCAGGAGGAGGATAGCGAGTCTGAGGCTAGCCTGAGTTATATAAGGAGACCCTGTTCCCCAAAACACCACTAACAAAGAGCAAAAGTCAATGCTACGTGTATACTTGAAAGCTCACACTAGACTAACTGAGCAGAGAATACAAAACCCACAGGTAATTTTGTTTTGTTTTCATGTGCAATAGATTTCTTTTTCAATGAATTTAGTGCATGTAAGATTAAGAATGTAGACTGTTGCTAGGACAGTTATCAAGTGATGGAAGTAAGTTTCTTCAGCATGACATGTATTCCCTAGGCTGAATGAATGGCTAGGGTGGCCGGGATCTCTAGAAGAACTTGCCTATAGATTTTTCCATACATTTTTGCTTCCTGTGTTAAATGCACCAGCATTCAATGTTAATATTCGCTCTTCTTGAGTCTGAAAGCAGATTATTTTGTTTTGTTTCCTTTTGGCTGTGGCGCCTTTAATTTCAATCCTTTTATATTTCATAGACACAGTGATAAAATACACAATAAAATCTGATGCCAAGGTCTTCTACTCTTTTTGTGAATGTGGTGAACATTACAAGTGACACATAGTTGCCTCTTGTATGGCTTCATCTCCATGGAATACAACAGACTTTTCTTTTCTGGGATTTGCATCCTCATGTGCCCACCTTTCTCAGGACTCCCCGGGTTGCAGCCCTGTTATGAAGAAGACAGAGGACCAGGTAAGCAATTGCAGAGGTTATCAAACCCATGCACCAGGCAGCCCCAGGCACCAGGAGCTGGAGGTCTTGAGGGCAGGACAGTGCTGACACTGCCCAGAACATGTTCTACTGTTTCCGAAGGTTCAGAGCAGGAAAAGAGCCTTTGCATACACAGATGGAATTGCCGACACATGGTTGGTGTGCTACTTACCTGTATGTTGCCTGCTTAGAGCTGTAATGACATCCTTGGAATTTCAAGTGTAGAATAACTTCTATGCTTCTCCTGGAGAGTCTTAGCAGTTCCTCCAAGAAAAATAAAGCACAGGCTGTCATTGAAACCACTTTGTGACTTTCAGGAGTAACTTTCCAAAGTAAGCAGACCATAAAATGTACCATCTGTCATCAGCAAAATCGTAAATTAAAAGTTTGCCATCCCTCGCTGTCCATTTGAGCAGCAATTATCCTTCTCTAATGTCTGTGGCCCCGGCTGTGCCAACAAGCAACAACCTGAATGTATAGGGTGCCTCTCTCTACCCACATCCCCAGACCTACCCACCCTGTTTCAGCTCAGAGCCATCGTTCCATCGAATCTGTTTGCTGTTGCTCTGGGTGTCCCCTCCTGTGAATTGTTTTCACAACTGGACAGTGACCACATTCTGAGTTCCAAGGTGACAGAAGGATAATTGTTTGCTGTGTTAGTGCTCCTCTAGAAATTAGACACACACACACACACACACACACACACACACACACACACACACACACACTCACACTCCTTCCACACTGGGAAATCTCCCAAGAACAAATATTAAGTAGTAACAGGCCCAGGACTGTAGCAGCCATGGTGAGCTGACCTGCAGAGACCAGTGGTTTGTGTTTGTGCTTCTCTAATTTAGACCTTTCTAGCACACTGTCTCCATCATGACAATCAAGGGTATCTCAATCCTTTGAAAGATGTCACAGTTAGGAGCTAGAAGATCTGCTTTATTTTAACTTTCACAAAAGAAGAAATAGTGTTACTGTACCAATCTAAGCAACAGCACAGAACAACCTCCTCTCATTATTCTTGATAACTTTATTAGGGAGTAAGGAGAAACACTGCTGTGTGTGGGTGCATGCCAGAGCAGACTAAGAGCATGACCAGGAAGGTTGGGGAAACTGGAAATTTCTAGAGGTAAAGAGAGGATTGAGTACAATTTGTTCTGGACAAGGAGAACAATTGCTTTCAGGGTCTCATTGCAGGAGTTGATATCAATTCATTAGTGAGACAGTACCCGGGATTATCTCAAACTTGAAGGTTGCTGGCCTCGAGTCTCATGCAGCAAGCTGCACCTTGGCAAAAGTTTTGGTTGCAGGACCAAATTTTTTTTTTTTTTTTTTGTAGACATGTGTGATGGCCTTTTCTCCTCAGCCTCCTGGCTATATTCAATTTATTTATTATTAGGGTTGATATAAGTGAGTTATTTTTTATCTTAACAAATTCAATGACTCAAGGACATTTTTCTTTTGTTGTATGAGAGTATGAGAAGAGAAAGGGCACTTGCTCTCCTCTGTCCGTTCTCCTCATTCTCTTCCTTCCATAGACTGTTGCTCTAAGTTATTTGACTTCTGGAAATTCTCCTCTGGAGTCAGTCCCATTAGATACATTGTAATTTTCAGCAAACTATGCCCACTAATTATTTAATTCAAAGGTTATAGTTGAACTTAATAAGGAAAACCCTCTTCATGGGGAAAGAACATTATTTTATGTATGCAGGGTATTGTAAGCTATTCTCCTGCATCAAGTTAGGATTTCCATTCATTTTATTGGGAAGATTCAATAGAAAATTTAGATTCATTGGAGCCAGCTGAAAGCCCAAACAGAACTATTCAAATGTGTGCAATTTATATTATATTTATTCTATACAGAAACCAAATTTAGTTAAAATGAGTTATCTGAAATGGTCCAATGTGACCACATGTCTAAAATATTTTTCTTGAACATGATAGAAGATTCCTACAGGAGACCACCAAATGTGTGTGGTAATATCACACAGCAGGCATAAAAACACTCACAAATTCCCAAGAAGAACAAAACATTTTGTTTCCTAAAAAGTCTTAAAACAGCACAGTCATTTATGAGAAGTTTATCTTGGCCTCAAAACAGAATAAACTTTTTATGGTTATTCAATATGGCTTCCATGAATAAACATTTTATTGTTTATAATTCCTTTGGGTAAATATAAAATAATCAGCACATTTCCATCCAATGTGCTTTAATGAAATTTCTCTCTGCAAGTTCATATACCTGGAGGGCCTTTTATTTACATTAAAATTTTTGTAGGTAGTGTTAGTAATTTGAGGTAGGAAAATGTATGTTGTATTTTTTTTTTTTTACTTAACTGCAGGGAACACTATGGTGCCATCTCCAGACCAACTTTCTCATTTTACAGAAATAAAAAGAAGCTAGGTAAACTGTCTGTCAGAAATACCAATTCCTAGCTCATGACACACTAAGTTCAACAAACATTTGCTGAGTACTTAACTAGTTTTTTGTTTTTTTTTAATAATTGAAAAATGTTGTCAGCCATTTAAAGAGCTTATAACCTTGGGCTGTGCAAATGCAAATGCAAAAAGAGAAAATTTTAGCAAAATGGGTTAAATGTGACGAGAGTGATGAGTATGGAGTATAGAGTGGGAATTATTTATTCATTTAACAAGTGCTGTGATGTTTCCTTAACATGTGTTGAGTGAGCCTCTACTATGTACATGCCAGGTAGTGAGTGCTGGTAATTAAACTGAGGAGCCAAAATGTGGGAGACAGATGTGAACTTGTCACTTAGGAAATAATAGCGAAGGAAGCAAGAGTGAAGACCTCTTGTCTATTCACTTTGACAAGCCACAAGTTGAAGGATGAGGCTCAGGCATTTTATCAAGTAAGAGTTTGGATTGAAGTTGTGTTTTCTGTTGCTGTTTTTGTACAGGGTTTTTTTTCCCCTGTAGCCCAGGCTAGTTCTGGACTTCGGACTTACAATCCCCCTGCTTAGTTTCTAGAGTTCTGAGATTACATTCATCTATCAAAACACCCAGCTTTTTTTAAAAAAAAAAAAAAAAAAAAAAACTCTTATAGCAGCTGATGCAGATTTCCTTCTAGTTAGCACAGTTTGTGCAGAAAGGGAACTCTGGAGGTTTGGGGTGTCATGGCCAGAAATAACATCAAAGCTCACCCTCAGTCATGCTGTCATCACTACTGCCTGCCATAGACACCACGAAGAGCACCGCTGTCACCGGGTACTGCAGCCAGCCAGAAGACACCTCGCCCTCTGCCTCTGGACCAGTGTTTCTCTGGCTGCCTCATGGAGATGTGTTGGTGAGAAGCCCACGGGTTCATATAACTACCTTGCAGAACTGAACAAAAACAGAATAGGAAGAAGGACACATAAGCTTACAGTTTAGGGCTCCTCACTTGCATGGGCTCCTTTCAAAATGCGGGTTTTTTTTTTGTTTTATTCACAAGTTTTGTAAAATTTGAAAAAGCAAGCATTTCAGATACAAACAACCAAGACATTGTTTGTCTGTTTAGTTCCATTTCCTCTCATTATAACTTCTGCCTGTGTCAGATACTTTTGAAGAGGACCCAGGGCCTTTTTGAAGTCCTCTTAAAAAAAATGGAGTTAGGATAATTAATTTACATAGAACAGGATATGTAGTTTTCAGGTACTTTGAGCAGAATTAAATGACTAACAGCATTTTAGTATAGTTTGAGAGTAGCTTGGGAGCTACAGTGATTTTTTTTTTTGTCAGCTTAGGCAAGAGTTTCAGACTATTTAAACAAAACCTCCACTAAAATAGGCCTTGAATAAAGTTGCTATTATAGATTGAAAATTGTCCATTAACAAAGTCTGGAAGACAAGAGACATGCCATTGGGAAACACACAAACAGAACAAGGGAACATACCATACAGGGCTATCTTTTAGAGCACACTCTCAGCTCTTCCTTTGGAATTGGTTACCGATATCGCTCCTAGCTTAGGTTCACTCATTTCTGTTTGATGTTTAAATCTCACTGCAGGACCACCCTCACTGCCGCCTTATTTTTATATTTCCAATGTCTCAAGAAACAGAGGAAACAGAAACTAAAATACAAAACACCCACCCAACAAATACAGTAGCAGAAGTCAGCACCGAGTCCTATAATTATCCCAATCTCAGATTCCTAGATGCCAGCATAAAAACACAGGCAATAACAGCCAGGACAATGTATCTCCACTAGAGCCCAGCAACCTTACCACACAGGCTCTGAATATTCCAACATAGCTGAAGCACAAGAAAATGATCTTAAAACTGTCTTTATGAAGATGATAGAGGTCCTTAAAAAGGAAATTAATAAATCCCTTAAAGAAATCCAGGAAAATGCAAGCAAATGGTGAGAGGAAATGAATAAAACTGTTCAAGATTGAAAAAGGAAATATAATCAATAAAGGAAACCAAAACTGTGGGAATTCTGGAAATAAAATATCAGAAATTTAAACAGGAACTATAGAGCAAGTTTCACTAACAGAATACAAGAGATGGAAGAGAGACTCTAAGGTTTTGAAGATATAGTAGAAGAAATGGATACATCCATCAAAGAAAATGTTAAGTCTAAAAATCTGATATAAAACATCCAGCAAATCTGGAACAATATGAAAGAAAACAAATCTAAGAATAATAAGAAAAGAAGAAGGAGAATACACTCAGTTCAAAGGCCCAGAATATTTTCAACAAAATCATAGAAGAAAATTTCCCTAACTTAAAGAAGGGAATACCTATAAAGGTAAAAGAATTATATAGAACACTAAATAGATTGGACCAGAAAAGCAAGTCCCCTCAGCACATAATAATCAAAACACTAAAGGTACAGAACAAAGAAAGAATATTGAAAGTAGCAAGGAAAAAAGACCAAGTACCATATAAAGGTAGACCTCTGAGAATTATATTTGACTTCTCAGTGGAGGCTCTGAAAGCCAAAAGGGCCTTGACAGATGTGCTGCAGATTCTAGAAGACCACAGATGCCAACCCAGACTACTATACCCAACAAAACCCAACTTTCAATCGCCATAGATAGAAAAATAAGATATTCCATGATAGAGCCAAATTTAAACAACATATATCTACAAATCCAGCCCTACAGATGGCACTAGAAGGAAAACTCCAACCTAAGGTAGTTAACTACTACCATTAAAACACAGAATAGCCAGATGGTGGTGGCACACACCTTTAATCCCAGTACTCAGGAGGCAGAGACAGGTGGATCTTTGTGAGTTTGAGGCCAGCCTGGGCTACAGAGTTCCAGGAAAGGCACAAAGCTACACAGAGAAACCCTGTCTCAGAAACAAACAAACAAACAAACAAAAACAGAATAAATAATCTCAGACCAGCAAAATCAAAAGAAGGGAATCTCCCTCCCTCCCTCCCT